TATCCAAACAATATCTGGAAACACCAGGAACCTGCTCAGCCAGTTATCCCGACCTTGTAATAACCTCGGCATATTTAGTGAGCAGCAATGGCGAGGAACTCAACAAGCCAATAAACCGCTCAGGGTTATAGTATTTGCATCTGGCCTGCCTAATAGCCAGGAACACATCCAATCCCCCGATGGCAGTTCCTCCGGTACTGTCTACAGTGGTATCCCTAATACTAGTTTGAGGGTTGGTTTTTTCTAACAGTGTCAACCAGCAGAGCCCCCCCGGACTCCTCCGGTGATATGGGCTCCCATAGCTAAGCAGATATTTGCATTGAGAATGGGAACGTATAGAAGTTCATACGTATGGTGCTGTCCTCGCTCTTGGCAACATATTATTGTGTTACTGGATTCCCGTTGGAAACTACCGTGATCTTCATGTAGTTCATCCCATATGTTACGGCGCTAACTGTTGAGGTTCCGGGACCGGAGTTGGTATGGGAGCCTTTTCCCTCCTTGGATTGGGAGTCCGTCCCTTGGCATATCAATTCCATGATATCTCCGGTAGTCCTGTTTTCCTCCCATCAATACGGTTAGCGGAAGAGTGACAGCGAAGTATATCATACCTGCTGACTTGGAATATTAAGCCATTATCAGTATTAATCCGACATGTACTCGTAGAAGCTGTGATCCCAACCGAGCCGCAAGAGCAGCACCAGCGCACGCCTCAACAGGAACCGCCGGAAGTCCAAACATTGCGGGCCCAAATCAATGGAAAAAAATCGAGCCAGCTAATGCCTTGTCACACGTTTCCATCCCCCCCCAAAAAACTCACATTGGCTTTAAGTTAGCTCATCTCTTGCACCCCCGGTATATAACTGGAGGGCACAGACCATCCCCACCCCTCAAACCACGGCTCTTCGGACTGTCATAGTGAGGTTCTATGCACAAGGCTAGTGCCTGAAAACGCCATAACTACCTGGACACAGGAACTGCACTGCACCGGGAGCTTGTCGCTAGGGCAAGCACAGCCAGCAATATCAAAACGCCCTAAGGCAGAATAGCCGTACTACATAGTTTAACACATTCGGGGAAATAAAATCCGAACCATGGAGAAAAGGTTTCCGTAGCACAGGACTCTGTACATAGGCAATGCTTCACGGTCATTGCCCAAAGCGGAGCTTGGGAAATAATAAAAATGGGGAATTGGGGGAATCTAGGCATGCTAGTAGCAAACGGTCTGGTTCGGAAATTTGATATCTGGGGCTTGGTTCCTTAGGAGTTTGGATCAGTTATGGTCTGGGGGGAGGGGGGATTCCGTATGATGCCCGAACGGTGGCAGGTAGTGGACGGTGGACGAGGGTTGCTCGAGGAACAACGGCGATACAGTACCAGAGTACAAAGTGATGATATTATGGAAGTAATAAATAAGCATGATCATTTTTGGTAGTTGAAAGTTTTATCCGTGGAACGACGGCCCCCACCGACATAGGAGTGAATAATTTTTCCCCTTGCCTAGTAGAGGGACTTGGGTATTTGAACAAAAGCTTCTAAAGCCCCGGCACCGTTATCTGAAATACATGACCTGTATTCCAGCAGTCCAGTACACAATGTGCATGCTGGTCGGAGCTCTCATGTGGTCTTGAGTTAGCTGCGAGCATAGCCATGTCCCAGAATACTTGGTACTGATTAATGGAGTACTGTAGTGTATCGTGCTGTACTACTAAACCGGTACTCGAGCACTATACTAGCACAGTACTCGGGTACTTATAACAGGGTCAAATGCTTGTCAGAGTCTGATTAGTGGCGGGCCGGGTAGGCCTTGGCGTTTGCCCCCGGCCGTGATTGGTCCTAAAGTGCCCTGTATCGGTACTGGATTCGGCACATGCATATACCACTGGGCGGCCTTACTTTTTTTCCCACTTCTCACCACTGCACTACTACCGTACTCGTACGGTGACAACGGATTACTGCGGGTATTTCCCCCAGCGAATTGTCGCAAAACCGACACTCACCTGCAGATATCGCGACAATCAGGGCTGGGAAGAATAATATTGCTGCAGACAATTGGCTAACTCTAGAGATACGTGAAATCAACTTGAAGAAAAAAAACAGCTAGACCCACCACCAGCTATGTGTGGACCATGCCGCAGCACCGCAAGAGATATTGTTATTGGCGATTACAAAAAATATGATGCGATGTTCACGACAAGATCTGTAAGACGTGCAAAGGGGGTACCAACAATTTTACCCAACACTGGCAGCAGGCCCTTCATCTCCCCCACATGTCGTTTTCAGGGAGGGCTGGAACACATGGCCAATTCTCCGATTTCACACACCCACATATACGCGCTCTAAATGTTATGACATCCCATCCCGCACTCTCAGTATCTCCCTCCTTCCAGCCAGCCCCCACCGACAAACAAGTACTCGAGTAACACAAATCTGGAGGATTAAGGAAAGTGGAAGGGGCGAGGAAATGGCCAAACAGAAAACACAGCAAATGACAGCAATCCCAGGCTATTTTCGTGGTGTTTCGGAGGAAATATTTGCAAAAAATGAGCTGTAGACTTGACAGGTCAAATAGGTTTGCCGAAGCTTTCCCCCTTGCTAAGTTTAAAGTGAGCTCGATTGAATACAAGGAGGTTCAAGCCGTACGGCCCCAGGCCCTAAGTTACCCAATCCCCAACTAGGCAACGATCCTTACAAAACCTCAGGATATCGCCATGAAAACCTCTTTCTCGCAGTGCAGTACTAACACCGAGGTGTGGTGTAAAATGGTACTGCGCTGTGTTGTAACATGTATCACTCGTACTTTTGGGTACGTATCCGGTAGTTTCTGGCACTTCGTGTGATGATTCACCAGGGTGTTTGCTCTGTGCCAGTTGATAATTGACACGAGAAGCAGATTTTAATCGAAAGGGGGCACGCAGTCGCACTATGGCTTGGTAGTGCTTTAGCTATCCTTTGAGATCGGTGCTATTTGAGGGGGTGGCCCTGGTTCCATCGCGATATCAATCGGGAAGCAACTGAGTTGCTCTCAGTTCTACTCAGCTGCATATCCACAAATCCCGGCTTCCACCGAGGAAGGGAAGGGAGAAGGGAGAAGGAAAGGTTCCGAAGAGAATAGAAACCCTTTGCTTGTGCTTTCAGGACCTACTTCATGCGTTACTTAACGCAAGGCAATCAAACGGTAGGGTTTTCAGCTTGATCCCCCCACCAATATTTCCAAACACGATATCGCAAAAAGTGTTCGGTTTCCAACTTGACGGGAATCGGACAGCACTCGTTGTCCCAACATGTTATGTTTCTCCAATCGGTGCCAGTCATGAACGGAGTGCCGATCTTCTTTGATCTTTCCCCTCTTCTGCGGCGGTGATGGTGATGATGATGATGATGTCTATGGAAGATACTGGATGGTATGCTCAGCTTCCCCTCTCTAAGATCCGGATCTCCAAGTTTGAACATACCGTAGATCCCGCCGCCCACGGAACCCAATACATCACACATCATACCGGCACGCAAGCGGCCAAGCAAGCAACCAAGCAAATATGGAGCTCGTACTCGAGTACTAAAGCCTCCAAAGCAGCATCGGGGGATTAAGCCTGTTGTCCATTTGTTATCCGTCGCATTAATATAACGATATTGGAACACGATATAGGTATAGCGTCCCTTGCTCAAATTAAGCAAGAGAAAAAGCCCTATTGATAATATGCCGCATCTCAAAGAATCAGACAGAGCAAGGCTTCTAAAGGCCAAATGGATACATTAGGAGTTTTTCGGGATGCATCTGGAAGATAAGGTAATCTCCGCGCCCAACCTTTCGGTTAAATCAGGCGTGCACGAAATAGGTGTACCCAAGCAGGGTACTGCACTACCGCGATAGGAATGTTAGAGTTCAAAATGCTAGTATTGACACAAGCCAAGGCAGAAGGTGTATTGTGCTCGAGTAAGGGATTTATTGGCGATGTTTGTGTTGGTGTATGATACCATTGGATTTAAGTTGACACCTCGATATTGTAGGGTACTCGAGAACTAGTACTGTACTAGTACTGTACCATGACTACTCGTAAATGCCTGTGAGTATCTTCCGGGTTGCTGAAACCCTGAAAATTTTGTGCCACACGTTAGTCTCTGGGGCATAAGTTAATAAGCAACCGTCGGCTAATAACTATGATAGAACTTCACGAGTGTGAGTACTCTGGGCCATTGCCAATTGCTAATAAATTATTAGATATATGACCCACGCTCGAAACCTCAGAGGAATACCGGCACTGAAGAGCTCTTCTTAGTCATCTATGTCCCAGAAACTGACAGGGCGGCACAAAATTTTCACGGCTTAAGCAGTCCGGGAGATAGTGCGGTACAGCACCGGTTCTCTTCAGCAGAAGCATGAGGCTCTTTCCTCACCCCTCACTTGTCTCAGGCAGACGGCTTCCCCCCTCACCAACTTCTCTTTTCTGCTGGTGGGGAAGGGCAAGGGAAGAGGGCCCTCGAACCCACCCGGCACGCACGATATGGCACGTACAGTTATCCTAACCGTGAGAACAAAACTTCCCCGCTAGCGCTGCCACTCAAAAGAACAATACAAACGTGCACGTATATACGGACGCTACACGCTGGAGTAGAGCATATTCCAAATATCGTACCAATCGATGACAGCATGACACTTGCTCGAGTAGACTGGGTCCCCGAATTCAAACTCCGAATGGAAGGCCGACAAGTCAACTTTGCCTTGTCTTGTCTGTTGTTTTAAATCAGAAATACGGGTAATGAATAAAATCAAGATAAAATAAATCACCGGTATCCAATGGGCATCCCGATCCCAGGTATTCGGGAGGCTGCACGAGAGATTTCCCTTCCGCTTCGCAAATGAACCGCACAGTACGCTTGGGCATGATCCAGTGCAAGAGAACCGTTGTTCGTATTGTACAGTACTGCCATAATCAGTAATCACAGTCCCTTCAGAGACAAACAAGTACTGGTACTGCTACCTCACATACAATTGCCTGGACATGGTACCGGTAAACCACTTATCCATCGCCCCCGCCCTCCGCCATTTTCTCCCCTTCCCCCTTCTCACTGTTCCTATAAAAGAGGGGCAGTTCGGGGAGGGGGAAAGAGAAAAAAATCCAGCAATCCTCTGTTCGCTCGCCAACTTTGAACCAAATCGATCTTAAGGGAGAGGAAAGGGGTGAGCGAGAGGGAAAAAAAAAAAAAAAAAAAAGTATCATTCCTTCCCATACCCCACTTTCTGCTTCTTGCATGGTTATAAACCAGCTAACCCCACAATTCATCATCACTTCATAGAATCACCCTAAGCTAAACTCTTCCAATCGATTCCGCACCCTTCAAACTAAGCGGGCCGGATATGCAAAAATCAGGCCGAGGCGGAAGGGGGGGCTCTGGGAGCGAACCGACAGAAATTATTTCCGAAGCCTGGAAAAATCCAATCAAAGAACTACGCCCTGCCCCCAAAACCGCATCGACCGAAGGCTGGGAAGTCCCTCCTCCACGGACTTATCCAACTCCCTTCTGGGTGGAACAACTCAAGATTGTGCTCCCAGAATGGATGTTCGACACTCTGGGGAACCTCCTAGACGACCTGAGGTTCGACGATCACGGTTATGGCTACACTTGTGATATTTACGAAGTATTCTGGGACGGAAGCCAGTCTACAGCACCACGATCTGGCGGCTTCTCCGGATTCGGTGGCGGTGGTGGAGGCGGAGGTGGAGGGGGTGGAGTCTGTCGATCTTATCAAAATACGGGCACCTGTTCTTTCGGCGACAGGTGTAGGTTCAGTCACGATAACGATGGCCAACGACAATTCGTACTTCCCGAACGCCCTAGAGGTGGTGGTGGTGGCCGTGGCGGTGGCCGTGGGGATGGTGGTGGTCGTGGAGGTCGTGGACGTGGTGGCCGTGGCGGTGGGGGTATATGTAAATTCTACAATACTCCCCAGGGCTGCAAATTTGGCGCAAACTGCTCCCAACGCCATGGCTGAGTTTTCTTACAGTTTCATCCTCTCTATCGATGGGGGTGGGCTGGGAAAGTAACTAGGCTGTTGAAAAAAAAATCTTTCTCGTTTCTCTTTGGAAGGGATGGCTTGTTTCGTTGTTGTAGCGGTTATCTCTTTCTTCACTCTCAGTCTGTCGGTGTGTTGTATGTTGCGCGATTTTGGAGGAGGAGGATAACGAAGGGAGGAGTTAAATGTTGTTAAAACACCAAAAAAATGGCGGAAAAAAAACCAGAAAACCCAGATAAAAAGTTGGAATGTTTGCCCCAGTTTATCGTGAGAGATTGATCGTGAGAGTTGGTTTATTTTCCATGCAGAAACTGAAGTGTGACTTGGGCATTGCACCCAATGCCCCGCGACACGGCGGGGTTAGATTGCTGAACCGTTGTTCAGTGTTCTTCCACCCTGGGTCCTTTGACGGATGACAAGTTCAAATCTAGAGGCGACGTACAGACCTGGAAGGAGTGATCTTATATTAGGATAACATCTGATAGATAAACCCCAGCCAAGCGTCACAATCGAACACCAATATCTCACATAAATCGCTCGTTACATAACTAAGCTCGAAAAAGCAAATACAAACAGTATCGAAAATCGATAATTGAATGGGGGGCGAACAGTCTACCTGATTATGCTGCGCCGCAGTGCTCCCACTTGCCGCGCTCCAGATATCTAAAGCACTCCTACTCGAGTACCGGTATGGTATCTAGGACAAGATGGGTACGAACACTTGTAGGAAAATAGTACTCTTTTCTGCTCATGCGCACCTTGTTCTATATTTCTATTTTTTTCTGTCCTTTGTAGAAAAGTAAAATTTTGGGCTCGACCATCCATGGCATGGACTCCGAGAATCACCAGGGACCACCCGGTAGTTGGGTCTCAGGTAGTCTGTGATTTGGAAGTTGAAGTGAAATAGAGCGAGGCGAGGAGGGAGAGCCGAGCGAACAAATCTCATCTACTGCTGTAGTAAGATAAACTCAAACAGTGATATCACTATCTATCCACACTCCCACCCTTCTTCCCCCTAGGCCCCTACATTGCCATCTTCTAGAATCAATGCGGCACGAAGTTCGCGACCTCTACCCGTCAAGTGAAGGTTCAAGTAACCTGAGACAGGCACAATTAGCATAGCACCCCCATCCAGACTAAGCCAAGGTACCGGAGTTTGTACCTGTGAGTGAGGATTATTCCTACCCAGAACTACGAGCACAGTAGAAAGCAGTCCGACGGGGGTAAGATCACGAATGAATATACCAGGTCATACCGTCCTCTATACGTAACGGAATGGCCCATCGAACAGAAGCCAGCAGCCAATGAGCCAACCAGGCGTCCCCCTTAAACCGCGATCGGTACCCAAGTGCTGTACAAGCAGAGTTTACATTTCCCTACTACTTAAACTTACTGGTATCTTTAAAGCACCCCCACGGCACTTGTACCCGGCACAAAGTACTTGTGTCTGAAAAGGATACACAAGGTTTTGTTCGCTGGTTAGGTAGCCGTGTAGTCTAACAATAACCGATATTTGGATACCGGTGCCGGTACTTATCGGCAGACAAAGGTACTATACAAATGTGGTGGGAGGTGGGGAAACCTTAAAACGGAGGACTAACGACACTCATTTTGATTGATATAAGCAGTATCATACAAGTACGTACACGCTACTGGACTCGAGCAATTAGTGTTCCGATGCGATTGGCGGTCGGTTAATTCTGCTTTCCCGGCACAATTAACCTGCCCCTCGGAAAATTCAATAGCTAATACTGTAGCTAATAACTGGGTATGACATTCGGATCCCATAAGTGGCCCAAAAGTTGATGTTTTTATCATCTCCCATCGGATAACAGAAAACTGAAGATATCTCTCTTTCCCATCCCTTCCCTCTTCTTCCCGCCCAATTTCTTCCTACCCCTTCACAACCCTTCACAGCCCTTCCGTCCTGTCTGTCCACGATGCTGCGCTCTCGAGTCTCCAAAAAAAGGGGGATAGGGGCACAGCGCGCAATCAACTTCAATGCTTCAACCACCATCTTCCCACACCACATTCCTTCCTACCCACCTACGAAACCCCATCCAATGCCAATTTTCCCGGGGTCATAGGCGAGGGAAACAATACCCGGGCAGGGCATCCGTAGCAATGAATGGAAGAGCGACAACGGAGGAGGGAGTGAAGGGGGAAGGAGAGCAGGTGACAGAGGGATATCCGTTGATACGGAAGGATTGTTTATGGTATTGGGGAGAATCGGGACGCAGAGGGGAGTATGAAAGTTTGAACTTGACGGCGATGCAGCGAAGAGGGAGCGGTTGAGGGCTCAAGTGCTCGCTTTGTCGATTGCCGCTGTTGGGGGGTTGTGGGGAATTGTCGGGAGGAATCATAAGGAGGCGGAGAGGTAGCTAGTGGGCCCTCTGATGGGGGAAGGCATTGGAGAAGGTTTTATGGGTGATGGTTCTCACGATGCATTGGTTGGGCGATTGATCTCGAGCGGGTCGTACCGGCGAAGCTTAAAGCTATTACGTGATCACCGTGACGGACGGAGGATGAAACCAGCAAACGAATCGATCCTGGGCCCCTGTGAGGAATTCTGGAAGGAGGGGAGAGCGGAGGATTCTTCTGGTATATCGTTTCCCATTCTTGTTGGATTTCATTCCGGGTTTCTAGGGACATTATTATACTGCTATGAGTAAGCGCTGGGTTCGAAGGTTTTAGTGGACGAATAAGTTAAGTTGTACCTTAATTATCATTATACCCAAAAAAAAACCTGGTGCTATAAGTAATATCCAAAAAATTTTCTCCTAGTTTATATCACGATTTTGCATGAAGAAAATTGCTTCCGGTGATGATTAATTCATGGCGGCGAGAAATACTGAGGAAGCAAAATGGGTTGTCAGCACCTGCCATGTGCAAGTCCTCCTTAAACTCCTCGGTTGACTCGCTCGCGGTTATGAAATACGAGTACAGTAGAGCCGCCTTTTCGTCCCCGCGTTCTCTCCCACAGCCCTGGCCTTGGCTTTCTTCGAAAACAGCAAGACCCCAGGTGGTTCCAGTTCCTCCCCGCTCTTCCTTTTACTTCTCCCTCCCCCCATAGCTTTGCATCACAAGCCCTACCGTTTCTAACTCTTCCCCCTGACGATAGCAAACAAAACATACAAGCAAACAATCTTACCCTGTCAGTCACTTTGGCCGCCGTCTTACCCTTCTCCGAGCCTCCTTACCCTAATGGTCTCCCATCTCCATACTACGCCCCCTTGCATCACCGCTGGCAAAAGGCTTGTTGCGCGTTCATTAGCGAGAACCTCACCGCGAACGCCTTGGAATGGGAGCGGGAGGAGTTGGTTCCCCCAGAGATCTTCAGCAAGTTTGCTGCAGCAAATTTCCTCCTGCCGAGCCTTCCTGCTCCGCTGCTGATCGAGTGGGCTAAGCAGCTGGGTTTGGACATACTCGCAAGAGGTCTAAAAGTGGAGGAGTTTGATTATCTGCACTTTTTAATTTACAGTGATGAGGTTTGATTCAGCTTGTTTGCCCTACCGATATGTCGGTTGCCGCTGTGGGGTAGGGTTTGACATGAAGTGTGGCTAGATGACGGGGAACGGGCTGTCTGGTCCTGGTGCCTCGCTTACGACCGGGATAACATTCGGGGTTCCGCCGATATTAAAGTTTGGGAGCAAGCAATTGCTGGAGAGATTTATCCCGGATTTGCTCATGGGGCGGGCGCGAAGCTGCATTGTGATTACGGAACCGGGGACCGGGAGTGACGTAGCCGGGATTGAGAGAACGGCTGTGAAGTCAGCGGATGAGAAGGAGTACATCGTTAATGGATCAAAGAAATGGTACTCCTCTTACCTTTGCTTCATGGACCCAGGCTGACGTCTCAGGATCACGAACGGGATCTGGGCAGACTTCGTTACAACAGCCGTGCTCACCGGCGGCCCATGGCCTTCAGGTCTCTCATTACTCCTCATCCCACTGAAGAACAACCTGTCCATCATCATCCGCAAGTTGGTTATCATGGGCCTTGCTGCCTCCGGCACCACATACATAGAGTTCGATGACACCCATGTCCCAGTCGAAAATCTCATTGGCATAGAGGGCATGGGTATCCGCTGCATAATGACAAACTTCAACCACGAACTCTTAACCACCGCCATCGGCGTAACGAGGCAAGCGCGTGTCGCCGTAAGCACAGCATTGGAATACGTCCTCAAACGCGAGGCATTTGGAAAGGCGCTTGTAGAGCAGCCGGTCGTTAGGCATCGACTCGCGAAGGTCGGAGCTATGGTTGAGAGCATGTGGGCGTGGGTTGAATAGATCACGTATCAAATGACCCAGATGAAGAAAGAGGATGCAGACCGGGAATTGGGAGGGCTGACGGGACTGGCGAAGGCGAGTTCTGGGAGGGTGCTCGATGAGAGTGTTTGATGCGCAGTTTTGCTTTTTGGCGGGAATGGGTTGACGAAATCAGGACAGGGGGAGTTGATTGAACGTATGTGTTACTCTTTTATATTTATTTATCGAGTCCTTGGACGTGAGCTGATTTGATGAATGAATGGGCATCTTCAGAGACGTCCCGGCTGCGAGACTCTCAGGCGGTAGTGAAGATGTCTTGTATGATCTTGCGATTAGGGAGTTGGTCAAGAATTATCGTAAGAAATCCGGGAGATGGGGAGGACGTCAAAGTTGTAGATTTGGGTGTTTACATGTACTTTTATAATGTGTAAATTAATGTATCGATACCATGTGAGTTGGAACAAACTTTGAATGACACCGTATCGACCGTTACTCTACAAGTTACTTGTAAATATGTCTGTCTATTACCGGATCGAGAAAGAAGTTTAGGATGCGTGGATGGTGGATATTTTTACACAATGGGGAAAAAAGAAGTATCACAATAAGGCACACGAGACTCTAAAATCATTGTGTCTTGGGCTTCATGCACGATTCTTGCAAGTCTACCTAAATTATCGCTCGCACTATGACCTGCGTGCGAATAAACGTCACCATATATCACTCGCTTTACGTTGGCTTCGAGTGCCGGAGATCGCAAACGATAAAGTGGAGATTGAATGAAAGCTGACTCTAAAGTGAAGTATATATGAGGCAGAGTTTTATTGAAGAAAAGAAAAATCAGAACATTGATTTTGGCCTGTCCTCCCTCTCAGTGCATCCAAAAGCTGTCCTTAAAATAACCCATCATGTGTATATACATCAGTATGATTCTTGTCAATCCCTTGATCCTGATATTCCAAGTAGTACAACAGGCTCTCATCAACCCATTGAAGTCATATATCTGACATGGAGAGAACTAGGTATCGGATAGTCTATATGAGTACAATGTGATCGAAAGTATCCAGATGTCAGAACATATACCATTCTGTTTGGGGCCCTGGGATTTGGAGAATGAGTCACGTCGATGTATATAGACAATGCTGGTTAGTATAAGTAGGACAGTCTTGGGTGCATTTATCATCGGAAGGGTGCAAGAGGTTCTCTTTCTTTCCAAAATCAATATCGTTTCATACACTCTTGATATTACACGATATTTGGTCTCCGATTTATTGTCCGCAACGTCCGACATTAGGAGTCCGAAGTATTACTTCAGGATAATGGATGCTCGAATAGATCCGGCTACCTGCCGTGCCACTTGGTACGTCGGGGTCCAGGAAAAGACAAGAGTGATGCTGATGCATATAGACGTTGTGAATTGGCATGGCTAGGGCAGTCTTGGGTGCATTTATCAATAAAGCAGCGCGCAAGAAGCTCTCCCTGTTCCCTCCATCCATACTCCCCCACGTATATTCTACATCACTTCACCTCCAACCTCCGGTCTCTATTGCACGATCTCCAACACTAGGAGAGCGGAACTTCCTGGTCCGGGTTCGATGCGACATACCGTATGGATAATTCGACTGTGTGCTATCATATGTCGTGAAGCTTTCCTCTTAGTCAGGTCAAGAAGTTTTTGTTTTTTACCCCTCTCCCGGAGAAGGGAATACCCGAACCACATAGCACACCGTCCAACCGATAGCCCCCGACGAGCCGCCATGACCGGTGGTCGACTGGCCTAATTTCTGGGAAAGTCTCAGTTGTAGATGGCCCCGGCCTAGCATACCCAATGCGGTTTAGCTCCTTTCCCTCAATTTTTCGAGTCCAGCTTTTCATTTTCATGGTAGGAGGGCGGTTGCGGGGTAAATCACCCAGACCACTCTCATGGCCCCCCTGAGCCGGTCTTTGGGGCTGTATATACTTATGGCTCACCAACTTCATCGTGGGTTTTGGCAATGCTATCCCCTACACACGCACATTTTAAACAGCTATGATACTTTCCGGAGCTGGTAAACCACGACCGCAGTGATCACGAACTATCACTCGGCTGAAAAGAAACGCCAAGGACAGCAATCGAGAGAGGGGTAATTTAGGAAAATTTTTCTATCTCCAAGACTCTCACACTCTCATCAACTTGCTTGCTCAACTCAACTAACACATGTGGAAAAGACAGGAGTATAAATAAACGATCATCAAACCTCCTCCCTTTGCTTTGCTGAACTCTACCGAACTCCCCACATATCCATCGCGATCCTTACTCATCCTTGCAAGCTTCCCTTCCTCAGCTTGTTCCCGTCGCTAACAAAAGAGAGAACAAAAGAACAAAGAATAGGCACTACAAAGAAAACTCTCTAGCCGCCTTGCTACCTCCGCCCGTGTTATCACTCCCACTGCCGTACCACCTCCGTTACCGATATGACTCCCATTTCTGATATCACTTCCGTACTTTCAAATGAACATACCGACCCAAAAAAGACGCTCCAATTTCCTTCCACACTCCCTCTACCTTCCTCGTTCCCACTACCTTCCGTACTCCTGCTGCTGTGCCGCCATACTGTTCCGAGACTTGATACAACAAACCAAGGCACGGGTGGGTGAACAACAGAGGGGCCGGCGATATGGCCAATTTGGGTTGGTCGGGTAGGCGGACTGGGGGCGGGACAGACGGGCGGATACTTGGCTAGCAAACTGACATGAGAATAGACTAACAGGCAGGCAACTGGACGTGCGAACAAACTAGCGGCCGAATGAGCGAACAAAGAAACGGAGAGTCAGAGGGACAATTGAGTGGATCAATGTGTGTACAAACAAACTGTTGCCCAGATAAGCAGATTGACTGATGGGTGCGGATAAAATGGTGGAATATCGGATATGCTACTCCTCTGGCTATCGAGCATGTTCTAAGCATGTCGCGCATGTTCCAGGTAGGTTCTGAGTATGCTGGGTGGGTTGTGAGCGTGCCGAGTAGCATTTCCAACAACACACACCTGAAGACATTAGCTTCGCATCAGAAAGTTACAGAATATATATTTACTCCCTTCCATAGTGGCACCCTCTCCTACACAACTACAGAAGGTAAAGAACCACTGCCTCGGGTAGACACCTGCCTAGCTAGTTGAATTTCTTTAGACTAACTGGAACTCTTAGAAATTTATGGTTAACATTACACTCAGGATGTCTCTAGCAGTTACATCTCCCATACAACCAACTTAAATTCTCTCCTAGAGACCTGCATGCCTAGGCTGTGCCTTTCTTATTGTTATAAATTGTTCAAGTGACTTTACAGACAAGGATAATGGATAGCTGATATAGCCATCTCCTTCTACAAAGGCTTGGTAGGGCAGTGAGGAAATCGGAATTAGTAGTATTATATTTTTAACTTTACTCTAGCTTCTACAGATAGCATTTTTCTTTTCTGCCAACTATTTATATTTTTAGGAGTCGAGCATGAAGTTAGTTCTATAGTAGAGATACCCTAGGACGGAAATTTAATATCTTTATTGAAGTATCATAAATTAAGGAACATTGTCAAATTAATATACAGCTAGTTCTTGTCTAGAAGTATAGTTAACTCTTATAGCCTCTCCTACCTCTGCTTTATTTGTCTCCTGTTCACTTGGTAAAGGAGTTATGTGAGCTTGCCTACATCAGTAAAAATTTAGGCCTGTACATAGAGCGTCCTTAGCATCTGATGCACAAGGCACTCAGAATGTTAATTGTGAATCAAGATGTAACATCTGATCTTAGGGACATCAGAGTGCAATGGCATTGTCACAGAACTCACAGGATACGATCAGATGCCGCACCATATTCTCTGGGTGCAATCAGATATAGTACTACATTCTTCAGGCATAACTAGACACAGTACTACAGCCTTAGGATGTAAAAAATAACCAAAAGGGCCCCTTTTACTGATATATAACTATGGTCACAATTGAATTTGTATATTAAATTGTATGCTTTATTAAAAAACTAATATACATAGTAATCTCCTGCTTGAAGTAGCTGCAGTTCTTGGACATACTCTTTACATTCTGACAGACCACTTCACTGGCAATAACAAGCTGTGACTCCATTAGGATTATTGGTAGGTAGATGTTCTTTACACCATTACAAAGCTGGTATTGAGGAGATCTAGACTGTTCAGTATAGGACATCGCCTCCTAAGAACGCCCATGCAATCTGATGTGAAAGTCAGCACTTCACAATGGTAAATACTACCTCTAAAAAACATGCTGTAACTTCACCAATATTGCTGGCGGGTAGATGTTCTTTGAACAGTTAGAAAGCTAGTGAAAAAGAGGATCTAGGCTGTTCAGTATTGAATATCACATTGAAAGGCCACCCACAGAATCTAGTATCAAAGTCGGTACTTTATTAAAGGAAATACTACCTCGATAATAAGCTGTAGCTCTACCAATATTGCCGATAGGTACAGTCACTCGGCAGAAGTGTTTGTGATCTGAGACAATGTTTAATTGCAGTTGCACCATATGGTAGGTCAGTGCCGGTGGGGTTGTCAACAGGTATGCGCGCGTGCGAGTTCAAGTTCACGATCAATAACCACTGGTATCTTTCAATATTCAATGGTCAATTGACCTGCCATAAATTAAACTAGCTAATATTTTGTATAATCTCCCCTTACTTCTAAAACTGCAGCCATCCTATCAGGCATTGATTTCCACAACTTCTCAAAAAACTCCTCAGGAATTCTCTCCCAAACCAATGGTAATACATGTGCAAGTCTTCTCCTAACAGCCTCTTTTCCTCCTGGAGTATCTGCAATCCTTGGATAGTGCTGGTGCAATCACTTTTTAACAAAACCCATACATGCTCAATAGAATTTAAATCAGGGGAATAAGGGGGGTGGTCCACAACATCAATACTGTTTCTCTCCAACCAATCCATCACACTATATGCCTTGTGAACAGGAGCATTATCTTGCTAAAAAAGAACATCTTCAAGTTGTATACCAAAGGAAATTATTTGATAAATAACAGGAAAAAGATATCTTCTCAAAAGTCTAAAATACCTGGTCTTATTGATAGTTTGAGTAATAGGAACTAATAGACCTTTTCTTTTACCCCAAAAGCACCCCCAAACCATAAGCGAGATTCCCTTATCCTTCTCCTTTGGGTGTACACAATCAGCTAACCACTTCTCTACAGGTTCTCTGAATACCCATTGTTGCTTTGAATTCTTGGATTTCTCCACACTGTACTCATCACTCCAAATCACTCTTTCAAAATCCTCAGCTGTCCAGTCCCTATGAGCTGTAGCCCATCTCACTCTCTTCGCTAAATGATCAGGCTTTAGCCTAGGTCTTGACTTGGCTATCCATTTTTTAATGTTTGCTTCTCTGAGTACCTGGTCTACTATGCAGGCAAATTTAGTAGACAATCATATCTAGTCACTCTGGGTAGCACAAA